TTGATATAACTGCTTTGCTCCATGAGGGGCCATTTTTTAAATCCTTTAGTTTTGTATTGAAGGCCAAAAACAAGCCTTAGCTCAGTTCAAACTGAGTTTTTGAGTTTGCTCAAACTCAGCTTGAAAAACCTCAAACCACTCAAAAGGAAAACCATCTGGGCCACCTGACTTGTTTGCTTTAAGCCTGGAGATGGCGCTGTTTAGCTGCAGCTGTAAATATTTGATTTTGTTGTTTAGTTATGGCAAATAAGTTGGCGTGAATTCAGGGACTTGCCAAATTGTGGCTCACTGTCTATGTGTGGTTGTTTTTTTTTAATAGACAGTGTTATACAGTCTTTATTTTTGAGATTTCTTTTGCTAGTATTGTACCTGGTTTTGACCTTGATTCATAGAAACACTATGAATACTTTATTTTTGACATCAAGATTGAATTTTGCCTGCTCAGTTAAACGTTTCTTATCCCAGGAACATGTTAGCATGTTTTTCAGCAAGTTGTCTAAAAGAAATGTTCCGAACAAACACAGATCACAAACAACAGATAAGCATAAAAACAACATAATAAATAATAACAAAGAATATAATTCATCCCACATTATGTAGAATATAAAAAAAACAACTAGCTGTTTATCTGCTGGAGAAAAGTTGCTTTTATACCAAGTTGTTCTTCACAGTAGACAGACCATTTAATAATTTGATGGAGTGAGTTTTTGTTCTTTACAGATAAATATCCAAACTATGTCGTCAGTGAAAGCAAGACAAAAATCAAACCATCACTGTTCTTTTCAGTATGGAAATAACATGACAGACACAGGGGCCCTTTTTAGCTCACAACTTCACAGTTTGCTTCAAAGTTCAGTTTGGAATCAATAATCAGAGATATTTATAACGGTGAATTCATTCCACTGTCTGACTCTTAATGGCTGTAACCTGTTGTTTATGAGTATGTGTTCTAAAATCAATCCTCATATCTTTTGTCTTAGATATGTTTCATCGAGAATTGGG